CATTGTGTAATGTGGTGACCTTTGACTCGACATCTTTTGCAGAACGGTATAGCCTTATTTTTTGTATATCTGCTTGAACCAGATAGATCATGACCATTCCTAGCCAAATTCCGTTCTTCCTGGATAGCCATTGATATAGCTTCCTGTAAATCGCTGTGCCTAGCGGCCCTAACTGATATTCTTAACTCGGGCCTAAGGCCGTCTATAAAAACTGCCAATGCTAGTTCGCTATGAGCGGACTCCATTGCAGCCCCTCTAGTGTCATCAAACATTGATTCTTGATCGTACATTAACCCAAGTATTGATTCTATTCTATGAGCGAAATTTCTCACACTTTCCCCAGCATTTTGCCTTAATTTAGATAATTCTAATTGTAATTCAGCCACGGATCGTCTCTCACCGAATTTTTTCAAAAGAAGATTTTTGAGTTCTTCCCAAGTTACATTATGAGAACGTCTAATATATTGAAATGCAGCCCCTTCTAATTTATTTAAAGTAATTTTTTGAAGTTCTAAACAAGTTGCTACATTTAGACCGCGCCTACATGTTTCTACAGAAAATATAAATTTATTTAACTCGGATGGTTTACCACTAAATTTTGGAATTTGCTGTATGGCGAGATTTAAAGCCTCAGAATTAACTCCAAGATCGGTTTCGGTTAATGTAAAATTGTCGATCCTTTCTTCAAAGACTGAACGTCTAGTGGAACTAGTCATCTTCGGGGAGTGTGATGTCCGATTAAAGAAAAGAAATTTGTCACTTACTTGGGGAGAGTCGCTGTCGTTGCGGGTTGCTCACTGTTAAGTGTTGGTAGAGCCGCCACCTTACTACCCTTAGTACCTCGAATTAGTATCGCTGGGTTGCTGGATCCGCCCTTGAGTCTGCAGCCTCCGGGGTGCGAAAAACTCGGTTTTTACGTTCACAGGCAACGTCGAATACTAATTCTTCACTACAAGGTATCGCACCGCTGGACACCATGAAATGTATTGGGTTTGTTGGTAACGTGTTTCGTATTTGACCTCCTAGTCAAATACAGCCTTGCCGAGCGGTGGTTATAGAAATAGTAGGCTTCGGATTTGCCTTGAGTTCTTATTAAGATATTGGCTGAAATATCACTTCTAAAGAACAACACTGATTGACTATTTCAACAACACTTTATTAGCACCCAAAATGATGATTAACAATTGTCTTTACACGACTAATATTGCGACTCTGCCTAGTCGCACAGTTTCATAGTTTATATATACAAAAAGTAGGACTGCAAACACCTTACGATGGCGTATTTAAAATATTCGCTGATGGTAATAATGACTGCAATCGATATTGAATTTAAGTTATTTGCCATATTAGCATTGCTATTACACAATATCGATTGCTATTACACAATATCATATACTCTTATCTGTGGATATATTCAGATATGACAGTTGAAGAAATATCAATTTACTTATAATTCGAATTTAAATGTTGATAACACTTACATATCACGATATTTATACAAACATTAACCTATAGAACTGAAAGAAAAGAATGAGATAAATATAATGAATTAAATGTATTATAATGAATGTTAATGTCAACGCTCTGTCAAGCATTATGTGTTAAAAATCATGTCCATATTGTGCTCAATTTTGTGTTAATAATTCTAAGAAAAAAATATACAACCATGTACAACTAGAATTTTTTTAAAACTAAATATTATAAATTTATCAAAGCGAGTTAGTTCGATAGATGTCTCTGCGCCCGCTAAGAGTGTCTTATCCTTGTTAACTTGATAGGATGTGGCTATGTACGGGAAAGTAGAGTCCAGGAGAGTATATGTTATCTTGATTAATTGACGATAAATATAATTTGTTTTTGATGTGTAATGTGAGAATAATAGTTTAAAAAAGCGGCTTAATAAGAATCAGTTATAATACAGTATTAGTGGAAGATATTGGTATTCTTCAGTTATAGTTTTAGTACAATTTGAGAGTAAGATTAAGTGATTTACATTATCCAGCGGGTTATAATATTTAGGATTTTCTTTTATCGTGCCACGATGCCACGAATTCGCAGAGGGGCAAGTAATTTTGGAAGACGTACTCGGCAAGCTCGAGCAATCTATGAACGAAGATTGAATGGGACCCATGAACAACATATGATAGACAATATGAATTTGAGAGAGCAAGTAGCAATGCCAATGAAAGTTTAGAGAGACGTACTCAACGACTGACAGATGTGGCATTGAGAAATCGAGAGGTGCAACGAGGTGCGACCGCCGCCATTAGAGAAAATAATCAACGACGAGTTAATAATCACAGAGCATTGGTACGTGCATCACTTTTGCGCCTGGCGTTTAATTATGATCCTGAAATTGATTATTCAACACACTCTTTAATTACCATTGGTAATATGGACAATGTATGTAAACATTGCCATGCTCTAAAATTCAAAGGAGAATCAGCAGGTTTATGTTGCGCATCAGAGAAAATTATATTGATAAAATTAGCAACACCACCGGAACCTTTAAAAACTCTACTAGATGGAACAACGTCTCAATCAAAAATATTACTGAAAAAAATTTGCAAATTTAATTCATGTTTTCAGATGACGTCTTTTGGTGCTACGAAAGAATTTGAAAATGAAGATGGTCGAAATTTTGAATCAACATTTAAGATACAAGGTCAAGTTTACCACCAAATCGGTTCATTGTTTCCCATGCCTGATGTGAATCCGAAATTCTTACAGATTTATTTTATGGGCGATGATGAACAACAAACAAACATGCGATGCGAATTTAATCACATACAGTTTATGAAGGAAAGAGATATTGTGAACTCTTTGAAATTATTTTTTAAAAACCATAACCAGTTGTTGCATTTGTTTAAGACTCTTTCAAGTAGACTAGAAAACGATGATTACGCTATTATTATTAGAGCAGACAAAGTGCCGATGGGAGAACATGCTGGCGCATATAATATTCCGACAGTCAATGAAGTCGCGGTCGTAATAGCTGGTGATCTATATGAGGGGCGTGATATACGTATACAACGGAGAGATAATACAGGACAGTCATAGTTCTCATGATGCTTTGCAGTATCCATTGATATTTTGAAAAGGTGAAGATGGGTACTATTTAAATATTAAACAAAGGGATCCAAATACAGGTAAAAATCTTATTTTTATAAAAAAAAACAAATAATAATAATTAAAATAATTTTAATATATTTTATTCCAGGTGCAGAACTTGCCAAAAGTAAGTGGCATGGATTTTTACTGCTACCGATTAATGATTCGAGCTAATGAAGAAAATAACATTTTTAAATGCAGACTACTATTCCATCAGTTCGTGGCCGACATGTATGTAAAAATTGAGAGTGAGAGATTGAGATTCATAAAGTTTAATCAAGCCAAACTCCGCGCGGAGGAACATATACATTTGCGTGATGCAGTACTTGGTAATGTAGATGCAATGAATGATATTAGTCATATTGGTACTGCATATATTCTTCCATCTTCTTATATTGGAAGTCCGCGACATATGCAGGAGTACATTCAAGATGCTATGGCTTATGTTCATGCATATGGCAGACCTGATCTGTTCATTACCTTTACGTGCAATCCCAAATGGAATGAAACAAAAAAATTGTTGATGCCGGGACAAACAACGATGGATAGGCATGATATAACTGCGCGAGTTTTTAAACAGAAGTTGAAATCATTGATGAATTTGATAACGCATCATTCTGTTTTTGGTGAAACACGCTGTTTGTTATACTCAGTAGAATGGCAAAAGAGAGGTTTACCCCATGCACATATTTTGTTGTGGTTAGTTGATAAGGTACGTTCTGTAGAGATTGACAATATTATCTCAGCAGAAATTCCTGATAAAAATGTTGATGAGAAATTGTTCGATATTATAACTACTAACATGATACATGGTCCATGCGGTACACTCACCATTATGTCACCATGCATGGTGAATGGAAAATGTACAATACATTTTCCAAAATCACTCCAAAACGATACTATCACCGACATTGATGGTTACCCCGCTTATCGGCGACGTGACGTTGACAATGGTCGACAATGTTTTGGATTGCGACTGTCGAATGGCGGGGTAATAGATGTTGTTAATCGATGGGTAGTTCCTTATTGATAAAATTAACAACACCACCGGAACCTTTAAAAACTCTACTAGATGGAACAACGTCTCAATCAAAAATATTACTGAAAAAAATTTGCAAATTTAATTCATGTTTTCAGATGACGTCTTTTGGTGCTACGAAAGTATTTGAAAATGAAGATGGTCAAAATTTTGAATCAACATTTAAGATACAAGGTCAAGTTTACCACCAAATCGGTTCATTGTTTCCCATGCCTGATGTGAATCCGAAATTCTTACAGATTTATTTTTATGGGCGATGATGAACAACAAACAAACATGCGATGCGAATTTAATCACATACAGTTTATGAAGGAAAGAGATATTGTGAACTCTTTGAAATTATTTTTTAAAAACCATAACCAGTTGTTGCATTTGTTTAAGACTCTTTCAAGTAGACTAGAAAACGATGATTACGCTATTATTATTAGAGCAGACAAAGTGCCGATGGGAGAACATGCTGGCGCATATAATATTCCGACAGTCAATGAAGTCGCGGTCGTAATAGCTGGTGATCTATATGAGGGGCGTGATATACGTATACAACGGAGAGATAATACAGGACAGTCATAGTTCTCATGATGCTTTGCAGTATCCATTGATATTTTGAAAAGGTGAAGATGGGTACTATTTAAATATTAAACAAAGGGATCCAAATACAGGTAAAAATCTTATTTTTATAAAAAAAAACAAATAATAATAATTAAAATAATTTTAATATATTTTATTCCAGGTGCAGAACTTGCCAAAAGTAAGTGGCATGGATTTTTACTGCTACCGATTAATGATTCGAGCTAATGAAGAAAATAACATTTTTAAATGCAGACTACTATTCCATCAGTTCGTGGCCGACATGTATGTAAAAATTGAGAGTGAGAGATTGAGATTCATAAAGTTTAATCAAGCCAAACTCCGCGCGGAGGAACATATACATTTGCGTGATGCAGTACTTGGTAATGTAGATGCAATGAATGATATTAGTCATATTGGTACTGCATATATTCTTCCATCTTCTTATATTGGAAGTCCGCGACATATGCAGGAGTACATTCAAGATGCTATGGCTTATGTTCATGCATATGGCAGACCTGATCTGTTCATTACCTTTACGTGCAATCCCAAATGGAATGAAACAAAAAAATTGTTGATGCCGGGACAAACAACGATGGATAGGCATGATATAACTGCGCGAGTTTTTAAACAGAAGTTGAAATCATTGATGAATTTGATAACGCATCATTCTGTTTTTGGTGAAACACGCTGTTTGTTATACTCAGTAGAATGGCAAAAGAGAGGATTACCCCATGCACATATTTTGTTGTGGTTAGTTGATAAGGTACGTTCTGTAGAGATTGACAATATTATCTCAGCAGAAATTCCTGATAAAAATGTTGATGAGAAATTGTTCGATATTGTAACTACTAACATGATACATGGTCCATGCGGTACACTCACCATTATGTCACCATGCATGGTGAATGGAAAATGTACAATACATTTTCCAAAATCACTTCAAAACGATACTATCACCGACATTGATGGTTACCCCGCTTATCGGCGACGTGACGTTGACAATGGTCGACAATGTTTTGGATTGCGACTGTCGAATGGCGGGGTAATAGATGTTGTTAATCGATGGGTAGTTCCTTATTCGTCTTTGTTATGCAAAACCTATAAAGCACATATAAATGTCGAACTGTGCAGCTCGGTGAAGTCAATAAAATACATATGCAAATATGTTCATAAAGGGAGCGACAAAGCGATATTTGCAATTAAAAGTATTAATGAGAATGATGAAATAACTCGATATCAAATGGGTAGATACGTCAGTAGCTATGAAGCTATCCGGCGTATTTTTGGTTTTCCCATACATGAAAGGAAACCACCTGTGGTACATTTGGCTGTGCATTTGGAGAACGGTCAGCGGGTATACTTTACAGAAAACAATATATTACAACAAGCTTTGACTGCTCCGAAGACTACTCTAACTGCATTTATAAACTTTGTAATAGATCAGATATTGCTGGAAGATTTGCTACAACATTATTATATACAGATATACCTAAATATTTTACATGGGATAAAAATCAAAAGATTGGGTACCTAGAAAACGAGGTATTCCTGTTTCAGGATTCGAAGGCATATATATGACAAACAATTTGGGTAGATTGTATACTGTTCATCCTAAGCAACGAGAATGCTTTTATTTACGTTTGTTGTTGTATAATGTCATAGGATCAAAATCATTCCAAAATTTGAGGACAGTCAATGGTATTTTATATGAAACTTTTTATGATGCGTGCCGTGAGTTGCACTTATTGGAGAATGATGATGAATGATGAATCAATGGGACATGACTCTTGCAGATGCAGCACTGATTTCATCTGCACATCAAATTCGACAATTATTTGCAATAATATTAACAACATGTTTTCCATCAGATGCATCTGCACTGTGGAATACACATAAAGACCCAATGAGTGAGGATATTTTGCATCGGTATAAAATTAATAATCAAAATAATAATCATGAATTTTCAGAACAAATATATAACGAAGCCTTAATAATGATTGAAGATATGTCGCTAATTCAATTTGGCATGTCAGCACCGAGCCGAGCAGCAGTAGATATCATGAACAACGATGTTGAACGTGAACACCAGTTTGATAAAACTGCTTTAGCTACTTTTGTTGCTAATAATAAAATATTGCTTACTGCCGAGCAACAAAGTGTATATGATCAAATCAATACGTCAATTGAGGCACAACAGGGCGGATTCTTTTTTTTGGACGCACCCGGAGGCACTGGAAAAACATTTATTATTTCACTGATTCTTGCGCGTGTGCGGTCGCAAAATAATATTGCGTTGGCAATAGCTTCATCAAGAGTTGCAGCAACATTACTTGAAGGAAGACGAACTGCGCATTCGGCATTTAAGTTACCTTTAAATGTTCATGTTAACCTAGAAGAAATGTGCAACATAAAGAAGAAATCAGGAATGGCGAAAGTTTTGCGAAAATGAGAAATAATCATCTGGGATGAATGTACTATGGCGCACAAGCATTCGCTTGAAGCTCTTGATAGGTCGCTGAAAGATATCAAAAATAATAATTGTCTTTTTAGTGGCTGCTTATTGCTACTGTCTGGCGATTTCAGACAGACATTGCCCATTATTCCACGAGCGACGCGTGCTGATGAAATAAATGCCTGCTTAAAAAAGTCTTATCTGTGGCGTAACTAGCTGTAAGTGGAATTCTGTCTTAAGGCAATTGAGGCATCGTGCCTTAAGGCAAATTGCTGGAACTTCCCGTACCAAAAATTATTATTTTTTTAAAAACGATTAACATTTTTGAAAAAAAAAATTTCTTCGAAAACATGAGATTTTTGAGAAACTATAAATTAGACAAAAAATTACTTTTTTTGAAAAAAAAAATTTTTTTTAAATTTTTTTTAAAAAAATATTATTTTTTTAATTTTTTTTTTTTGAAAAAAAAAATGTTTTTATTTTGACATATTTTGGAAGATCTGAACTATTTTTCAAAGCAATCGTACTGCTTTAACTGCATAGAGACAAAATATAAAGCGCGTAAGCGCCGCGTCGCTGTCTAACGGATAAACATTGGTATGGAACCCATAGGAATGTAAACAAAATTTATACTTATTGTTAAAATCTCTATAAAATATCTGATAATTTGATGTGCGTATGTCTAATGATCATTTTTGACCGCCAAATGGCATTTTTTTTTACTTTTTTTGTTAAATCTCCGAAACCGCTAGACCTGCCCTCATGAAAATTTGATCAATTCTTAATCTTGTCAATACAAGTAAAATGTTTTTTGAATTATTCAAATCGGACGCTCCGTTCTCTTAAAAACTGAGTTACCGTTTTCGGCACTTTTTGCCCCGTATCTTCGAAACGGCTAGACCTGCCTTCGCCAAAAACTAATCAGCACGTCTCCTTATCAATACGAATCGAATGTGTTTTTTGAATTATCCAAATCGCTTCATTCGTGTTGCCGAAATCGTCGACGAAAATTTGTATCCGCACATACATACACACACGTACATACACACACACACACACACACACATCCATTTTTTCTAAGGCATGCCAAAATGATCAGAAACCTTTGAAACGTAAAGATATATAAAAATTTTCATTTTCGATTTTTTTGCGATTACTATAACTCACCCTACGGGAAGTTAAAAAATTATATCTTAGTGTTAACATTCGTGTTCAATGTCTAAATGATGCACTGGGGTCGAAATTTTCACAACAATTATTGGATATTGGTAATGGCAGAATTAAGTTTTATGAAAATATAGAGTACATTCAATTCCCTGATAATTTTTGTAATATGGTTGATGGCAAAGCCAAACTAATAGAAAATATTTTTCCAAATTTAAAGCATAATCATGAAGATCATGAGTGGCTACAAGAACGAGCAATTTTAGCAGCAACGAATTTAGATGTAGACGAAATAAATTTAAAAATACTACAGATACTGCCAGGATATGAATTCACATTTAAATCAGTTGATATTGTTATTGATCCTGATGAAATCGTCAATTATCCAGTCGAATTTTTAAATTCTCTTAATTTACCAGGAATGCCGCTGCACAAATTACTATTGAAAGTTGGTTCTCCAATTATATTATTAAGTAATTTAAATGCCCCAAAATTATGCAATGGCACAAGATTAGCAATAAAAATTATGGGAAACATTACAGAGGCAATTATACTGGGTGGAAAATTCAAGGATGATGTTGTTCTTTTGCCTAGAATACCACTAATTCCTTCGGAATCAGTAATACTTTTTAAAAGACTGCAGTTTCTTATACGTTTGGCATATGCTATGACCATAAACAAGTCACAAGAACAGACAATGAACTTTTGCGGTATAAATTTAGTAAATCCGTGCTTCAATCACGGACAGCTATATATTGCTTGCTCAAGAGACAGAAACCGAAATAATTCATATATTTATACACCTAATAATCTCACCAAGAATATTGTATATCCTTTGGCATTACATTAAAAGTTTAAAATAAAAAAAAGAATTTTTTTTTTTTTTTTATTATTTTATTGGCTTTATAAACTGGTACATTAGCCATATACTAAATTACATAATATCTACACTATCTCTTACATATATATCATTGTTTTATGTATATTGCATTTATAATTTTATATTATTACATTTGATGTAAATATAAAGAGCTCCATATAATCTTGTATCTGTCATCACTGTTATAAAATTAATTGGAAGGGAGATTTTTTGTTTAATTATTTCCTCCCATAGTTTTTGTCTGCCCTTTTCCCAACGTTTACACTCCATGATGATGTGCTCTGCATCCGCCCTAGTCGCTTCGCCCAAGCAGTAGCAACTAGGATCGATATCGATCCCAATTCTGCTTAGGCAGAACGGAGCGTAAGAATGATTTAGTCTTAATCTACACAATGTTGCGTAAAACGGCCGACACTCCTTAAATCCGTCATACCATGGTTTGACTGGAATTTTTCCTTGTATCATACCATAAAATTTACCTTTAATTCTAATAGATAACTGAAAATCCAATTGCCAAATGTTCCGTATGTTTGCTCTGTTAAATCTTTTTATGTCTCTATAAGATATTCCATCCGCAGCAACAGTCCCTGTATTTATTGCATCTTTGGCGCCGTTATCCGCCGCTTCGTTGCCAGCTATCCCAATATGACTTCTTACCCATACAATGCGTAACTTCCAATTTTTTGATAATATCGCATGTATGTCATTTAGAGTATCTATCGTTAATAATGACGGGTCCTTTCCCAACGACAACATGCCCTCAAGAGCAGACCTGCTATCGCTGATTATTACCGATTTCTTCACATTATGTTCATCAATATACTTTACGCACCTATTAATAGCATACATTTCCGCTGTATATATCGACGCATCTTTATCTAGTTTATATTTTGTGAAGGAATTTGTCCCCTGATGGTAAAAACACGCACCAACACCATCTGAATTCTTCGAACCATCTGTATAAAATCTATCATAGTCTTCAAATGTTTCATGTATACTTCCTTCGACCTTCATCCTACATTTATTGGTATCTCCGCTATAGTGCGCATTGGCGAAATCGATTTGAATTATATTTTTCAGATTAGAAGAAGTAACATCGTATTTGAAATGAAATCTTGAGGTTGCAGTCCAAGTTTGTAAGAGATTACATTTTTCTACCACTTCACGATACGCAGTTATTAGTATAGGCCTCTTCCTATTTCTCCAGTATGGGCTGTTCAGTTCATTATTGATCTGATTCACATTCTTTAATACTACGTTGTTAAATTTCATTCTATCTATGATAAAGTTTGAAGCCAATAACCTCCTTCTCAAGTGTAAAGGATATATGTTAGCTTCAACATGTAACGCATTGATAGGCGTGGAACGCATGACCCCCAAACAAGACCTCAAAGCTTTGTTTTGAATTATGTCTAGTTTGCTAAGTACACTTTTGGATGCGTCGCCATATATGAAACTACCATAATCCAACTTAGATAGTATTAATTGCTTATATATTCTAAGAGAAATCTTGATATCAGCACCATAATTTATGTGATTAAGAAACCTGAGAATATTCAGTGCTTCTTCACATTTAGAGACTAGATAATCAATGTGTGGTTTCCACTTTAATTTGTCATCAATAAGTAGCCCGAGGCATCTAATTGTAGGTTCAACCTTCAGAACATAATTGCTTATGCTGATATAGTCTGGAATTATAGACTTCCTATGTCTTGTAAAGAGGCTTATTGTACTTTTATTTTCTGACAAAACAAACCCTAACGATGTGCACCAGTTATGGAAGAGGTGCATTGTTATATTCATTTTATCAATAGCCTCATTCAAAGTATGAGCCTTATGTAGAAGTATAATATCGTCTGCATACTGCATAATTTTGACTTCCAGATCTAGCTCGGTTTGTAACTTGCAGGTATATAGATTGAATAATAGCGGACTAAGAACGGATCCTTGAGGTAGTCCTTCTTTCATTTTACGTGGTCCAAATTGTAAATTGTTACACCTAAGATTGATTCTGCGGTCTGATATTAGATGGTGTATATGAAGAATAAATCTTCTTGGCATCTTGATATCAGACAGAATCTTCATTAATATAGGTATTTGAACGCAGTTATATGCATTAACTAAGTCCACGTTTGCAGTCATCAGGAGATTATTTTTTGCTAAATTAATTTTAATTTCATACACTAAGGATGTGATAACGTCAATTGTACCCCGATTATTACGAAATCCTAGCATGTAACTCGGGAATATCTTGTTGCTTTCCGCCCACCATTCCAATCTTCTTTTGATCAGTCGTTCGAATGTTTTTGCTATACATGAAGACAATGATATAGGACGATATGATTCTGCTCTTGAAGGATCTTTACCTGGTTTAAGAATTGGAATTGTAATTATATTTTTCCACTCGTGAATAGCTGTTTCGGTGGTCCAAACTTGGTTAAGAACCCGTAGTAACATATTCTTGCCAAAACTGGATAATTTATTCAACATTGGATAATGAATATTGTCCGCACCCGGTGTAGTGTTCGAATTTGTTTTTAGTGCCAAAAGAAGCTCCTGCATTGCGAAAGGACCTTCCAGTACATCCATTTCTTGTACGCTTGGTATAATTACCTCATTTGTTGCTGAGGCCGGGGTAATATTGTTAAGGAACTTATTTGATTCATCTATCGGAAAAGGATTTTTATGCACGACTCTATTTTTCAAAGCTTTCACCTTGTCCCAAATGTATTTAGATGAAGTTGATCTTGTAAAAGAATTACAAAATTCAAACCATTTGTCCCGTTTTTTCTGTTTGAACGTTATACGACATTTCGCTAAAATTCTTTTATATTCGATGTAATTAGCCAAAACTGGAGATCTCTTGTATTTTCTAATAGCTTCTAACTTCTTCTTATTAAATTTCTCACACTCTTCATCCCACCAAGGCGTTGACAAATATCTATCTTTTTTGCCTAAGTAAGGTCTTGACATGGGAATTGCTAACAAAGCCGCCTGATTTATGCATTGAACAAACTTACCGTACATAGCCGATGGATCTTTATCAAATATCAATTCTGACAATAACTTATCTGTCACTTGCTCATATTTCTTCCAGTCAGCTTCTTTGATCTTCCAAATATGTCTGTTTCTAATATTACTGTTATTCATATTTACTTTACTCACTCCAATCCGAATTGATATACCAAGGTGGTCCGATCCCAAAGTTTCATCTGTGACGTGCCATTCCGCACTGAGCATCACAGATGGATTGCATATAGATAAATCTACCGCAGAAGGATTTCTGTCATGTCTCCTCAATAACGTAGGCGATCCGTCATTCAGAACACATAAACCCTCTGAGTTAATGGCTTCGCTTAAAATTATTCCATCATGATTATTATGAATGCTACCAAAACTCGTATGATGCACATTAAAGTCACCCGCAATTAGAAAGGCGGCGAAATGTTTCCGAATAATGAAGTCCAATAAGTAAGATTTGTTCTGTGTCCTGGAGCACAGTAAATTGCAAAAATATTAAACACAGTACCATTATTGATTATGATTTTGGCCCCACAAACTTGAATTTTTGTGTTGCTATATATCTCGGTGTTTACAGTTTCGGAACATAGTCTAAGGCAAATATATAAAGCTACACCTCCGAATCCATCGTCTCTATTGGTATGTATTAATGAGTATCCGGATATATCATACTTAAATTCCACTTTCATCCATGTTTCTGATAAAATTACAATATCAATTTGATTGGCTTTCATATAGGCTTCCAATTGCAGCTTCTTTGAATATAGTGATCTAATGTTAATTTGAAAAATTTTGATCATAAGGATATGTATGAATATAAATATTAATTTTTTTTTTATTTTTTAAACACTATGCTATTTAACATGCCAATCAAAGGATACTACAAGTAGAATACTCAAATTGTATAAGGTAATGACATTCCTATTTACATTTTACCAGCTTTATAAATCACTATCATCTTTTTCAAGTCTAAGTTGTGACCTCTCCAACCTTTTTAGTATCTCAACTAATATTTTATAGTGTTCATTATTGTTCGGCATATAAACTCGTTTAATGTTGTCTATAAAGTCTTCGAGTAAATCAATGGAACTATCTTGATTGCCAATGATATTACTACTATCTTGATTACCAGTGATATTACTACTATCATCATCCTGTTCATGTACTCTGTTTATTTTCAAGCGTTTACTTGGATTATATTTGGGTTCGGTGCTCTGTTTTTGAATTGTTACTCGTTCATTTTCATTATAATTTCTCGATGTAAATTTTGGAATCGACCTAATTTTGGTTGAAGATTTATGGACAAATCTTTTTGGTTTACTGAACTGTATAGTATTAGCATATTCAGCTTCCCCTACTTCCTCTAAATCTCATAATATTTCGAATCTATTTTTGTCCAAATTACCTGATTTGCCCGCATAACAACTCTGTTTTGTGTGAAAAACTGGAAAATCTCTATTCCAGTCATTACTAGCATACCCTGTTCTCACCACTCTAGCGTATTTATTTTGGTTTAAAGCGTTTTTTGCTTCATGGAAGGCTATATTTTGCCATGCCATCATTTCTTTTATTTGCTTATTTTTTATAAATACCGGACACTCTTTCCTGCATTTGCATTCCTGAATATAATATTGTTAAATTGTACATTTGAAAATAAATATAACTATTGTATTAATTAAATTTATTTATGGATAATTTAAAAAAAAAAGTTGAATGATATTGAAAAGTTAAATACTTTTTTAATATAGACATATGTGTACAGGACAACGTCTGTCGGGTCAGCTAGTATATATATATATATATATATATATATATATATATATTTATCGTTGTGTCGTTTTTTTACCGCGCGTCGCAAAAGGTTTGGTTTACGGATAGAGTTTATAGCCTTTGTTACAAGGTAATGAAAGTATAGAGGGCAAGTTTTTAGTCAAAAAGTTAAATGTGTT